CCTGTGGAGGTTGGGAGGTCTGTGTGGTGTACCCAAACCAGACCTTCCCCCCCTCCTTGAGGCTTCGTGTCTGAAGGAAAAGATAAAAGACACCTCCATGAATGTGAGTTGTGAGTCAGTGATGCTGCAGAAGCCGTTCTGATAGAAGAGCACTTTGGAAATTTAATGTTAATTATTGACACAGCATTTATAAATAGAGTTTTTAGTGAAAGCACTTACCTTCCAACCGTGGCTATAATCCGAAGGAGCTTTAAGCACTAGATGACTACAGGAGCTCTGTTTACAGCTGCATATCAGGAAAACCCAATGTTTATTCAGCAGTGAAAAACAGTGAGAGTGCGTTTATTAAAACTGCTTTTCTCTATTGCTGACTTAAACCCAGGAATATTTCTGAAACTTAAATCTCTCAAATTGTGCATCGTGAGCGTGCAGAAACTTCAGTGCTGTGGGAGTGGAGATACAGGAACAGACGCAACTGCTGTGCTGCTACTGGATGTCCTGCTGTCTGTCTCGGCATTGGGGCGAAGGGAACCTGTCTTTGAGCAGCGTGGATGTCTGTGAAATGAGGGGGTAGTTTTGGTACAATCGAGAAATTGAACGATCTGGAGAAAGTCTCTTGCGTGTGGAATGTTGAGTTTCAGAAGAAAGGCTCCATCAGTGGACTTGGAGCTGCTGTTGTGCACAAGTGAGGCAAAGGTAGCTCTGCTGCTGGTTCTGCTGTGCTTAGTGTGTGGGAGATATGCAGCTTAGGTTGCCTTGGTTAAAAGCTTTAGTATTAGAAAGCAAAATTATTCAATGCAAGTCATATTCATTGCTATTTTGTATGTTGCATTTACTCTGAACTCTTCATGTTTACTAATATACTAAATGACAAACAAATGCAATGAAATTCCATGCCCAGGAGGGCTGACCGAGAGCCAGTAGTCTTGCCAAAACCGACAGGACTGGAAAGCCCTCAGCACCCTTAAAAGAGCAGGCCAGAAGGCGCTGTGCTTTGGCATTATTACTGAAGTATTTTTATTCTTTATAGAGATCTTTTAAATATTTAAAAACAGCTGTAGCGAAGTGCGTGTAAAAGTCAGGGGCAGTTTGTGTGCTAGCAGTATTATGTTCCTGTTTTCCATTAACTAGCAGCTGCTGTTGTTTTTTTGGGAGGATGGGAATTAAAAAAAAGAAAAAAAAAAACAACCAAAAACCAACCCGTATGTGTGTGGTGCGTTACTTGAGGAAAAATTGGAGATCCTGGCAACTGGGAAATTGCTCTTTGGAAACCACTAATATGTAAGGCTCTGACCTTGCAACGTTTGCTCATCTAGTCTCTTTGTCCCTGTAAAAGTCAGTGAGAATTTTACAGCTGAGTTTTGTGGTGAGAGGGTTGTGCTTCTCTGCTACGTCTAGGACGGGTTGTAGAGACTTGGCACTCTTAGGCACCAGTGCCACCGTCTGTTCGCTGATGTTCTGACTGGACAGGTAGTCCTGCCTCATACTGCAGTCCTCTTTTCACATCAACCCTTTTTTTGTAGTTCAGAAAGGAGATATGCAGTAATGTGAGTAGTCAAGACAAGAAACTGCGGGGCGAGGGGGGAGAGAGCTCCAGAAGGAAAAGCAAAACTTCCAGCTCGTTTTCCATGCCCAGTTAGCAGGTGTTTGTGGATCACCAGGCGTGCTTGTTTTGGGCAGTGCTGAAAATGTTTCCCGTGCTGATCTGCCAATGGATTGTGTGACTTCTCAGCCAGCCTGTAAAGAAAAATGGTCTTACTTTCATTGTCCTCCTTGCTTGTCATATCTGCTGTGTTTTGTTTTAAATTGGATGTTTTTGTTACGAGAGGGACTGAAGATTTTTGTACAGTGGTTAGCATGGAGAGGAATGTACTATTTACGTATGAAATTGGAAAATTTCTTGTACGCAGCAGCAAAGTGGGTGGTTTCTGAATGCAGTATCTTAAGATAGATGCATTAAAATGGGCCCTGATTCCTTCCATTTGCTATGGAAGAACTATCCAAGCAAGGATACTTCCCTAGCCACACATAAACCTGTTTGTCCTTGCTGTGTTAACTTCCTCTCTGGGATAGAGCTATAGTTACAAGTTTTAATAATTCTCCTTTATTTAACTTCCTGTTCCCTGTAGCTGTTCTTGTAAAACTTGTATTCCTTCTTACAGTGAAGTCAGAAATTCTGTGAAGTTCAATATTCTCACTAGAATAGATATTGGGCAGTCCTCTCCGGTCCAGTAGTATGTTAATCTTGTCCTGGGAGTTACCTGTAGACAGGGCTTTTTACCCAATTCCTGTGTAAAGTTTATACAAGTGATACTGAACTTTGAACAGAAAAGGAGCTAATGCTGGTGACATGCAGCTTACACTGCCTTTTGATCATGTACAGCACTAATTTTTGTTCGTTAATGTTGTTGGAACCAGCATTGAAAAATAACACCTTTGTAAAAATCAGCCTAGGTTGATGCAGTAGGAGTAGGAAGAGAAGATGTCTCGAGCTGCTCTGGACTGTGTTTTTACCTTCTGGTCCAAATATTGTTAATTATGGTTATACTAGTGCTGATATCAGAATCTCCTCAATTGCTCTATCTATTGTCACTTTTATGGCAGCAGGAAGCGAAAATGCCTTTATCTTCAGTAGACTACGTAATTGATAGCTTTCCCTCTTCGAGGTGTACGTGGTTCTGGGGATCTGGGGTTGCTTTCTTTTCACTCCGCAGTAGGTGTTACATGGGTGAAACTAACACAGCAGCTGCTGTTAACACGATTAACTGTTTGTCTTCTTACTTCCAGGAACACATAAGAGGTGAGGTTTCACATTCTGCTTTGAAATAGTACAATGAGATATGTGTAGTTACCAAAATAGTGGTTCTTTCCTTCAAACACCTAGGAGCAATAGGGCTAAGATATCTGGGTGACAGCTTTTGCTTCTTGCAGTGCCTACGATGGGAGGGCAAGTGATGGACCATAACTTTATGGATTATTTAGAGCTCTTGATGGTGGATTTTTTTTTTACTTGTTCTGAAAATGAGAGCTTTAAACCATTTGCAGTAACATCCATGACGTAGCGATAACTTGATAAGCTTTTGAAATATATGTCTGATTTTCTTGTACAGCACATGGAAGTGATCTCTGCCAGTTTCTTACTGAGAAGTGGTTGAGCTATGAACAGCAAATTTTTGTTGGACCTTTAAAAGAGAAACATGGACTTTTTCATTAAACCATAGGTTTAATAGTATGAGTATGTACGCTTATGTCAAGCAAATTATTTTGAAAGGGTTTTTTTTTTTTCCTTCAGTCAGAAACTTGGGAAAAAAACTAGATAACTTCGATCATAGGCTTCTGGAAATAATCCCAGCCTGTAACTTGGTGAAATGACAGACTTAATAGAAGGTTGTAGCTAGATAATTCCTCTGGCCTTCATGGCTCACCTATTAGGGAATAGACTAATGGAAGAGGTACAGGTAGGGTTGGCCTCCTAACAGCTGTGCTGAGAGGCAATTTTTCCTCTGAAGTAGGGGTCGTGAAGTACTGCCTTTGAGATTTTGAGCTTTCGTCTTTAATTGCTCAAAATGTAGCTTAAAATGTACTCTGATTATAACCTGGGTGAATAGGGAGAAAAGTGGATGGGACTGACTCATGTTGCAGACCAAAATGAAGATGGTCTGTGCTGAAGAAATGGTTTGGCTCTGGCTCCAGCCATTTGGGCAATTTGCAAGGGCTTTCCTTGTGGGAGAGCTTGCAGGGAGACAAGAACACTGAAATATTGTAACTTCACTGGTCAGTTGTCTGCTGCTCCAGGTAGACAGCTATGCCTATTGAATCACCTCTACTGTATGGTCAAGGCTTAAAGCAGAGTTAGGGTCGCTGGATGGTCGTATATGTGAGAGGAAAAGGGAGAGGAGGGATAGCTGTGAGCAAAGGATGGCTTTCCGTGTTGTAACCACATTCTTTGGTTTTGTTGTCAGCCCCTGGTTCCTCTGTGGGGCTGACCCTCCACTCTGTGGGGGCTTGTTCAGGTGAGACTGCAGGGATGTGCTCAGACCACATGGAGTGGTAAAAACCAGGAAAGAATCACGCTTTTTCTCTCCTTCTGGTCTTCTATGTCCACACACACTTTTCTTCCAGGCTGCAGAGCCAACTGCAGTGTAGCCAGTACGGCGACTCTCCCACGCAGCGGTCTGTACGTATCATACAGTGCCTGCATATATAGAGTGTGGTACATGCACCCCAAACAGAAAGGCCAGTGGATTACATAGTGTTGGTACCAGTTCTTTTGGCAACATAGGTATTCTCAAGGAAATTGTGCGATATATTTAAGGAATGAGAATACTTTGGAGGGACTCCCTAAATCTTACTTCTTGCCCCAGCATTCTCTGGCTGACTTAAGGTGTAAATTTTACTAATCATTCAGTTCTGGTTAACTACAACAGCAACCAAACTCTATATTTTACTTTGATATCCTCTATTGAGCTTTTTTTAATAGTATAAAAACGTTTGTATTTGGGTTTTAATAGAATTTATGTAACTATGGGATAAAAATAAATAAGAGCAAAGTACCTGAAATGAAAGAAGAGTATTGAAATATTACTGTAAAGGTTAGTGAAGTCTTCACCATTGAAATGGGTGCCCAAGTGCTTTTGTGTGTGCTGCACATTGAAAATTGGGTATTTCTTGGGCATTCTGATTGTTTGGATTTGTAGTGCCTTTCAGATGACCAAACCCAGAAGGTGAACAATGATCAGCAAAAGCCTGGAGAAATGAGGTGCTATATAGCTCTAATGATGAAAGAAGAGCTGTATTGATACTTGATTGATATTCTAAGCAATGGTTGTTTTTTTTTTCAAATGACATTCTGATTTTGTCCTTCCTTTCTGCTTACAAAGGTGTGAGTATGAAATTAACTGACGTGCACCAAAATGAAAGCCTGATGAAGTAATAGACTGATTATTATCAGCTCTCAATTAATTTTCTATATGTTTTTCAGATCAGCTCTACAAAACAAGATGTATTGGCAAATCATTCTGACCATGCTTGTGCTGCTGGGTAAGTTAGTAAAAAAATAAGGGAATTGTGTAGAATGAAGAGTAATCACCGTTTCTGTTTTACAGTGCTGATTCAAGTCGTGCTACTGGATTAGTATCTCAGCACAACATGTAACTAGAATATACAAAGGACCTGATGTTATCAGTGTGCGGAGTTGAAATGTTGAGACTCTCAGGGCTGTGCCTGTGCGTCCTATCCCAAGAAGCAACTGACTTTTAAGATCAGGAAACATCAGTAGAAAGTATGTGGTGGGTCAGGATGCATTCAGATGAACACCTACGTCAAAGTCGGGGAAGTTAGAAGTTTCTGCGCACTAAAGGGTCCAACAGCAGAAGGGAAAGTCCTGGTCCCATCAGAACTGCAAGGTCTCTGTTTAGTTCAGTGTAGCCAGGGCATCACTTTGAGTTTGAGCTCTGCTTTTTTAGGTAGCTGGCATTTCTGCTGTCACATGCAGGGTGCTCAATTAACTGCAAATGTTGGATATAATAAACTGGTTTTCTAATTGGGAAATGTCTGTAATGGTATTGGTGTATGGTGTTCAGGGACAGCTGGATTTTTTTTTTTTATTAAAATAAGAACTTTTGCTGATGGTGCTTAGGGAGAAAGCTGATGCTGTAATCCGATGAAGTTAGTTTCAAGATTTGTGTCATCTTATATTTTTTATATATATATACATCTTTATCTATCTCCTTTCTACATAGATATACATCTTTATATGAATCCGTATCCTTTCTATAAACATGTATATCTTTCTTTCTATATGCGTACCTTTACCCACTCAGTACCAAGTATTGTGTTGTTGACGTTCTTTTAAATACCTTACGTAACCTAAACTTATTGTGAACCCTTTAATTGGAAAAACCTGGATGCCTCAGGGAATTTTCGTTAGGCTTCAGAGCAGTTTGTCACTATCTGATGGCCTGTAATGACTGAAAGCCAGTGTATCTATTGAGTGACCGTCTCTGATCCCAAACAAGCAGATAGCCATGGCTGGCATCTTTGTAGCCCTGTTAACCCAGACATGAAATATACTGGTATTTGAGGGACAGAACTGTCAGTGATGCCCCCTGTGTGTCTGTGTCATGGACAAACTGTGACGTCCGTAGCAGGAAAACGTTCTTAATGCACGCTGCAGTTTATTAACAGGCACGTAAGAGCTATAGCAATCCTGTGCTAAGTGTTCTGGGTTGCAATGCATTATAGTTCTTTTATTTTTCAACACTTCTGCAGGAGCGGTAAGTAGCTGTCCACATTTTGACTTTACAGGATTTAATTAATCCCATGAGATTGTCTGGTGTGATCTGTGAGGGGGCAGTCATTTTTTAGAAAAAGAGATGACTGGCACAAATCTCTTCCCACCCCACAGTTGACCCTGGATTGGGCAGTATGCTATCAGGCAGCATGTTATCTGTCCTGCTTCATAGCCAGTCGTGTCACTTAGTCACTTGCCTTTTTTTAATCATGTATTATGGCCCAGTAGTCTGTTCAGTCAACTGAACTGCCCACATGCAGCCAGGAGGCCTAATGAAGCTGATATTTACAGAAGCACAAACTCTGTTAAATGAGAGAGGAGGAAAGCCCAAGAACCCTTCAGGAGTCTGGCAGTACAAAATCTGTGTAAAGAGCAAACGGAACACATGCAACACACTGCGTAGTAACGCAGCATCTGCTTTGAAGGCAGCATGCATCTACTTTTAAAAAAGCTTTCATTTTGTGTTTTTATATTATTTATCTTGTGCTTATATGCTATTAATCAAACAGTGCTAGAGAAACACTGGTTTTCTTATTTTGGCTATCACAAGGTGTAGGGCATCAATTAATTTCTCTAATGAATGGCTTAAAATATTTATGTCCTTACTGAGTGAACAGCTGAATGTGCGCAAATGACCCACATGCCTTTCCATAACAAGAGCTTTAATCTTTGAAACTCACGCAGTGTTTTACAGTAAGCTCTTCCCAAAACCAACATGCTTATCATTCTCAAAATCATCGTTGGCGTAATTCAAGCTATGACTTGCCAACAAGAGCTACAAATACGGTCAGAGCAATTTTATTTTGAAGAATCTAAGTCTGATGGAAAAGATTATCCTTTTCCTACATCTCATTTCCCAGATAATGCCCTGGGGTTGCGTAGTTACATCCAACCATATATTCTTCGTGAGACTGTTCTTCAGTATTCAATAGTTACAGTGTGGCTGTATTTACAGTGGGATTGGTTTTTCTACAGTAATGGAGCTGTGTTGTAAGAGCTGGGTTGCAAATGTCCCAGCACTGCAGGGGGAGATGAGACTCATACCTGTACAGTGTGTGAACCTAGGTTTAGGTTTCACTGTATTTTGAATTAATATAAGCCAATTTACCCCAAAGAGATGCTTCCCCTACAGTCTTGGTCTTAGATGATCTCCAGAGGTCACTTCCAACTCCTACCATTCTGTGATTCTGTGACATATTTCAAGAGGCTGAGAAACCACGAAGTCAGGTGTAGTGGCTTTGGGGGAGAAGGCTGGCATCTGTCAGTTGCGACACCAGCTCGGAGGGGATGTTTTTAGTGATTTTTTTGTCTGCGAATCAGAAGAGGATAGCCCCTGGAAGCAGTCGGATTTTATGTAATGACTATGTTTCTGTGTAACATCAGTCACTCCCTTTTCATTGTTAGGTAATATGAACTTTTATTTCTGACATGTTTGCCTTTATATTTACAGACTTCCTTCAAATGGCAGTTGCCCATTGTACGGTCCATCAGATTCCTCCCAGGAATTTTACATTACCCTGTATGCTGCTGAACGAGACATTTCTGAGTCCTTTCTCTGCTGGAGTCGTAGAGAGCCGGTCTGGTTTGAGGAGAGAGCATGGAGCATCTGAAACCGAGCCTGCCGTGCTAATGAATGAAGAAAGTTTTCTGTGTTGCCTTCAGAGTGATAACAACGTTGATTGCTCTTTGTACAGAGCAAGCATGCAAGCAAGGAAGTTTATTCCTTCAGAAATCAGTGTCTCTGCTTCTCAGGAAATAGGTAGGTTTTCCATTCAAGGGCATGAGAAGTTACTTCTTTAAAAAACGTTTGGGGTTTTTTGTTGTTTGCGAGGAGGCGGGATGGGTCATTTTAATGGGTATTCATTTTTATCCAGAGCAGACAGTATAGTGTGGTAAACGCCTTCTTCACAGAATTCTGAGGTGGAAGATGAAGGAATTTGTGTAGCACAGTTTCAAAGGGAAAAAACAAAAAGTTGGCCACCTTTCTAGGGCAATTCTGAATAAAATATGTAGCCCTGCAAATGAGGTGTTTAGACACTATGAGAAATACTTTAAATATTTTTGCGGATATGGGCTTTAAACTCCTTCAAGAGGCGGGGGAGATGGAGAGCAAGTGCCATCTTTTCTGCTTGGATTATGATGCCTTAGTAAATATCTGTACATGGATTAGCCTGAATTATTTTTTCTAGGCTATTTTTCTCCTCCTGTGAACCACAGTCTCTGAGCAGCGCACTGGCCTGTTGGCATACTGCCATCGGTGGCAGGAATCTCATTGACCTCAGTAGAGTAGAATTTCGTTTTACAAGAACTGTCCATGGAACCAATAAATCTCTGTTAAGGACTGCAACACTAAGTTTGTTGCTGTTGTGTGTGCAGTACAGCTGCACGTGTGTGCACAAATTGTATGCGGTACAGCCACATCGAGGCTCTACTGGTTAACAGTAGGAAATCTGTCGACCAGCAGCTTCATTTCTTTCTTTACCATAAAGCCAGGTGAAATATATTCCTTCTCTAACAGAATGCAGCAGAATCACACAGGTTGTTAGCCTTTTAGGTGTACAAGGGCTTATACTCGTGCTCAGTTCAGCAAGGATTATTCATAAACATTTGTACGCTTGTGATCCAGTCTCACCTTCATGAATATCTGTTGCTTGTCCTCTTTTTGTGAGTGAATTTTATCCTGGCTCTTCTTTTGTGGTATTTTGTGTGTTTTGTTTTAATGTAGTTATCCCTTTCTTTTGTTCAGATTCGAATTGGAACCTTGAATGTCGGGTTAAAGGCAAGCTGGACCTGTTAGTTTGTAGCCTGCGGTTTTTGAAGTTGTACTGGAGAGCTGACTTGAAGGTTAATCTTTTATATGCTGTGTAAGTACAGACTTTGTTAAATTTGTTACTATTAACATTGAAATCTGAAGTCATTTTCTAAAACATCAACATTGGTCTCAAGCTTGCAGCGCAGCAGTAGCATTAGCTTTGCAGGCAGATGATACGTTACGTACCTTTGTCTTATCTAACAGTAATCTTCGACAGTATGGAATTCTGTCTTCGAATGAGGAATGGTTGGAATGGAGGGTCCCCCTCCTCAGTCCTTTCCATGTTTCTTAAACTGCTTTGATGACATCACTGTTGACTTGCTAAAATATCTTTGCTGTTACAATTGCTTGATTTTAAAGCTGCAATCTTAGTTCTGCCTTTTTTGTGCTTTTGACCCTAATGTTCTCTCTCTTGACATAATTATGTTACTTAAAGTTTAATACAATGCCAAATGCTGACCTAATCACATCGATGCCTCTGAGAGTCACCCACCTGTGCAGCTGTCACATTCTCTGGAATGCTAATAGATGGTAATGTCCTGACTGTGGTGTGGGCAGGTCTTATATACGTTACCTGCTTGGTTTGGTCATAAAAGCATCTGCTTGATTACACTTACGAAACCACACTGGTTTTTTTTTGAATTACTGATAGGTTGGAAAGAATGGCATGAACACACAGACTTAATTTTGTTAGGAAACAGGCTAAACGTAAATAGTTGAATTAGCTGAATTTACAGGTGAAGACATTACTTAAAAAGCCAGATAGCACTTGCCACAAATTATCGCTTATTAGTCGAGGTAGAAAGCAAATGTATTAACTAGCAATAAATATGGTTCTTTAGCTGGCATAACACTTTAAAGCTGAAACCAGATTTGAGTGGGTTACCATTTCCAGTGTTTCTCATTACTTTGATTTCTGAAATACCATTACATGTGTGCTTGTGGGAGAAGTAGATCTGACTTTGCCTCTCTTCCATCCAGTCTCAACTGCAACAGAAAAATCTTTGCCAGTCATCCCAGAGTAGTAATCTCTATATTGATTTTTTTTTTTTTTTTGGAATGCCTAACGTCCATGGAATCACATATTTGAGTCCAAGCTGGGATGAAGAGATTCTTTTTATTATGGGGTGAATTCAGTAAGTGCCATGCAATTTCTGAGAGCAGGCCCTATAGACTTACTAGAGTCCTTGTGGCATTTCTGTATTTGATTACTTTTTGCTGCAAAGGCAAGATGCAGTGCAGTCCTTGACACTGGAGAACTTGCTTGGCTCCCCAGATTTCATATTAATATTTTTCTTTTAGGGTCCCTATGTTCTACGGGAACAGCTAGCAAAGCTTCTCGGATTTTGATAAGGTGACAGGTTTCCCTCTTGGCTTGCTGATACCTTAACATTTTATTCACATGAGCCAAAATACCTTGAAAACGTTCCCAGTTTTAAAAATATGCATTCCTGGCACGTGTTACTCCCTGGGAGTCTGGAGATCAAGCCAGAATCCTTGCATGTAGGACAGGCAATGTACAAAAATAATGACCTAGAAGAATCTGTGACAAAAAAGCCTGGGTCCTCACCAGCTTTTAATTTTTTCAACATTGAAGAAGTATCCTCTTATATTACACATCTGCGGTTTGCCTGCTTGTAAATGGTATCCAGTTACTTTGAAAAGAAGATGTTTTGTGCTGTCCGAAACAGTGTCATGACAGTATTCTGTAAGAGGCTCAAGCAAGGGTAGCGATAGGGCTTTTACCTTCCCTAGCAGCGTGTCTTTGGGAGGAGAAAGATTACTCTGAAACATAATCAGACAAATTAGGTTAATTGTCTATCAAAAGTGAATGATCTTTCCAGTTGTACGTATTCTAGGAATGCTGTAAACCCTGAAGGTTAATTACGTTAACTGAAATCACTTAGCCATAGGGATCCTGTTGTAGTGACACAGATGAATGCTCCCTGTTTAATTTTGAGCACTGATTATAATTTGCCCTTTTGGCAGATGGTGATGTGTAGGGTGTACTCTCATTGCTCACCTCTTTGAAGTACCTGTGAGGCCCTCCTTTAGTTCTAGGCGTAAGCCCCCATGTTTTTAAGGATAAATCATGCAATTTGCCTCAAGACTGGTGGCTTAGTTGAGTGCATCAGTTATACATTGAGCCTTCTTCAGCTGGAGAACATTAACCTTTCATTAGAGACTTACCCTCTCATGAGCTTGGCAGCCATTAGATGTTCTGCAGTTTCACAGGACAGCTTCTTCAACTAAGTCTTGTCCCAGAGCTACTATATATAAAATATGTTGAGATATAATTATTGAAAAACCTTAGAACCTCGGACAGCTTTGCTCCCTCAATTCCTAATAAAGGTAGTGCTTGCACGAACGCAGTATCTAGAAATATTGAAAGCAGAGATACAATTTCTGATATGCCTCAATGTAGCTGCTGCCTAAATGTGATGCTGTACCTTTCCTGAAATGAGAGGGATTGTAGAAGTTCATGTATTTCTTCCTAAAACAATTTTGAGCTATTATTTTTGGTTAGGTGTTTCAATTGCAAGAAATGGATTGAAATTCAGTAAAGACATTCTGCAGTGTCTAAGTTAAAGTCTAAAAGTTCACCACAGGGCCACAGATTAGTTTAGCGTAAGTAACACCACCTTCTGAAGTATGGTTGAATTGTGCACCAAAATACAAAACATTTAGGAGGTGTTAGCTTAAGGTGTTGACTGAAGGAACTACCTGTGCATAACTGAAATGTGCAGTGTTTGGAGCGGAAAAGAAAAGCAAACCGTAGACTCATGTCCTTGTGGCAATGTTAATTACTTCTGTGCTTCAGGGCATACCGTATTTATTCTTTTTTTCCTCTTCTGTGGTGTCTTACGCTTTAGTCCCATATTTCCAGCGTAAAGGCACGTTGCCTTTGCACATTGTCCCTCCCTTCTCCTCCAGCCATTAAAACTTAAGACCAGCTCATGAGTTTTCTGTTGAATCTCAGAGATGGGCTCTGGTAGTCACAGAAGTTTGTACGCTTAGTATTTATCTGGTTTTTGCTTACCAGTCTCCAGACAAATCTCTCCAATTCCAGCAGCCAGCACTATAAAGCTGAATGGGGACATAGTATAT